GTCACACATTCATCCCTGTCTAGTTCTCTGGTGAAGATTCTTATCTTGGCTGCATAGATTGCTCTGTTTAACATAAAGGAAAACAAGATGATCTGCCTTTGCTTGGGGAAGCTTCCTTCTCGGCTTCCCGGCCCCAATAAAGTATTGCTGGCTGGATGATTTTCTTTTAACTTATGCACTTTCCCCCAGCATGTTGGTTGGTGGTCTTATTGCCTGACTTCTCTTTTATTTAGAATTCCTGTGGTACGTTCTAGCCCCCTGGAGCTGTGTTAGGGATGACATAGCACACCTCAGACCTGAGGTATGCGTGCATGTTAAATTTTATTGCCTTTGGCGGTCTGTGGATCTCTTACTTCTTCAGTCTGATTAATGGGGAATTCAGAACTGTAGTTAGGAGATAGTTTACCTGAACTATTTATTATTGCTTTTTAATAATTATTTACTTATTTTTTTATTTTTTATGCCTACAGCACCTGGTCTTTCTAAGTGGTCTCCCATCCGAGTATTAACCAGGCCCAACCCTGCTTAGCTTCCAAGATCAGATGGGATTGGGCTTGTTCAGGGTGGCATGGCCGTAGACTCCTGATGTCATTTTTTAGTTCAGCTACTAAGTGCTTCCCAAATATTCCAATATCTCACACTCATCATTTGTCTCCTCTGTCTCTTCACTAGAGTATGCCTGGCATATTATAATTATCAGGGGAATAACTGAATAAATTCTTCCTCCTCCTTGAATCCTGCACCCCATGTCCCAGCTCACCCCACCTCCATTCTCCACCTGCCCTTACCTGCCAGGGGCTCTCCCCCCCCTGGAAGCCCGCCCTCCAGGGCTCCCCCAAGGACCTCATAGGGAGCCAAGGGGGCAGGGGCCAGGGGGAGTTTCCCATAGTCTACGAGCCAGCCCAGCCCGCTAGCTGGGAGCAGGGCCCTGTCCAGCTCCAGCCCCAGGGTCGCCAGGAGTGACATGGCTGCAGCACAGGCGCTGGGCACGGATGGCAATGAAGGAGGCTGCACCAACAGCTGGGAGGCGGCTCTGGAGGTTGCTCAGCTGGGCGAAGACAGGCACCAAGGAGAAAGTTGAGGACCTACATGTGAGACAAAAGTGGGTGGGGTCACAGGCCAGCCTGGCTCACTGCCAAAGTCACCGGGAAACCAAGCCACGCCCCCGCGTTTCCGGGGTTCTGCCTCACGCTTCCAACTGGGTTTGGGACTATGCCTCCATCCCTCAGAATTCTAAATCTGCCCTTTCTTTCCCCAAATCTCTGCGCCTCATCCACTCCCAAGAGAATTCTCTTCAGGCCCGATTTGCTTTTCTTCAAAATTCCCAAGACCCAATCTCTCCCACAGAGAAACTTAATGGTTTCCCAGGGGAATTTCCTTAAGCCCCTCCCCCCCCCCCCATAATATTCCTTTGTAAGAAGACTCGATTTTCTTCCAGCCACATCCCTTGCTCGAAACTATTTCCTTTAGGCCCTTCAGTTCCCAGGGGAATTCCCCCTGCCCCACCCCTCCATCAATGTTATCCATTCAAATCCCACTTTTCCCTAACTTTGCAGCGATCACCGCTGTCCCTCCAAGTCCCGCCCCAGTCTAGCTTAGCTCCACCCTTCTCGAAGATTCCCTAGAGGCAACGTCTCTTTCTCCAATAGAAACCCGTCATCGCTTAGCCCCGCCCCCTCGCATAATAGACTCTCCCAAGCCCGAGAGTTCGCCGTGGCTGGGACCCTAGCTCCACCCTCTTTTTTAACGGGTGGTCTGTAAGCCCTGCCTTCTACCCTGTCAATCTAAACCAGCACCCGCCCCAGCAGATGCCTGAATGAAAGGGAGGGACGTTGTGCCGCGAGCCTGAGCGGTACGAAGCAGGGACGGCGGAAAGGGGCCGGCGGAGAACAGCGGCCCACGCCCCGCTCCCCTTCCAGCTTTTGGCTCGCAGAGAGCCAAAGCGCATGCTCCGTCTGTAGAACGGTTCCCACTGTCCACGCCTCCACCCTCCTGAGGGTCAGTGCGCATGTGCAGCTGCTCACTCCCCACTCTTTGCGCATTAATACGGACTCTGGTGGAGTAATGCGCGTGACCAACCGCGCGCAGACAGAATCGTTCCAGAAGAGGAAAAAAAAAAAAAAAAAGAAAAACACACCCTCGCTGGGGGCCAGTGCACAGACCCAGCCGTACCCGGGCCATTTTTAAACGCCAACACTTTCCGGAAGAAGGCACCTCCCCCTCCCCGGGGGGCCGAGTGCGCATGCTCGGCCGGGCGCCCGCGCCGCTCTTCTGCGCCTGCGCGACCGTGATCCCTCGCTCTCGCGTTCCCCCTCCCCCCAGGCCTGGCCGTGAGGGCCGCGAGCTTCGAAAGGGCGGGAAAGGCGGTTGGCGAGGGAGGGGCGAGCGGTTACTCACTCCATGGCTGCGGAAAGGAGAGGCGGCGGCGGCCTCGGCTGAAGAAAGAAGGCAGGAGCGGAGAGCGCAGGCGCGGTGAGCGCGGAGACGGGCCGGGGGCACGGAGGGGTCGCGGCTACAGCGCCATGGCCGGGGCTACGCGGGCGCAGGCCGTGTCGCGGCGGCGTGAGGAGACGGCGTGTTCTGAGGATGGGGAATGAGGCGGCCCCGGGGACTGGGGACAGATATACCGGGGCTGGCGCAGCACTGCCCGCCCGGATCCTTCCGCGCCCCGCCTCCGCGCGGCCCCCCGCGGGAGGCAGGCCCGCCGCCCTCCTCCCGGGGATCCGGCCGCCTCCTCCGACCCCGGGAGCGTGGCTCGCCCTCCCCTGCGGCTCGGGGGGCCATCCCTCTGGTCCTGATGCCGGGGCCGGCCCGCTGTCCCCTACATCCTCGGGCCTGCTTTTCTCCCCTCCCTGATCCAGGCCCGCTTCCCTGGTTCTGATTCTGAGGGTTCGGCCCCCTCCCCCTCCTTTCCCCACTGGTGCGTTTCTCGTTCCTTTCCCCACACTGCTTCACTGATTTCCGGCCGGCCACACGCTCCTCTTCTGCATTCCCCAGCTGCCGCCTCACCCCAAACACGCTGTTTGCGGGTGAGAGCCCCGCGTGAGTCACAGTCAGCGCTCCGTTCACACCACAGACCCGCCTCGGTGGCCTTGGGCAAATGACTCAAGTCCTCTGGCCTGAGATAGGGAAGTCAACCCTGCCTGATGGGATCGTTTGTGAGAGTCAGATGAGTCGATGACGCCCGGGAAGCCCGAAGCACAGAGCCCGGCTCATGCACGTATGCTCGGTGTATCTCATTATTAATAGGAACCGTGGGGCTCAGTCTCATCCCTCCACCACCCGCAGGAGCCCCAGACACGACCATCCAGTAGTAGGTCATTCTTGGGACTCCATCCTTGCAAGGTGTCAATTTCCAGCCATCCTCACCCTCCCCCATTCCAGGTATTCCCAGCCCCACCCTGGTGCAGGGAATCGGACATCGTCGCCCCCACTCCAGCCTGTCCTCCATCCCCTGCCTACCCTGCCTCTGCTTCTGCCCTGACTTACTGATATGCCTCCCCCCACTGCCCAGCCCGCCACAGGATCAGTTTCCCAGCCCTGCCAAAAATGGGGGACTACACTTTGATTTACTGAAAGAGAGGCCATCTCCTCGTGTGCGCTGGGCCCTCCAGCAGCTGGTGAAACCTTCCCCACCTTGCGTCCGTTCCCATCAGGACGTTTCCCTCGGAGTTCAAGTGATCAAACTGCTTTGCCTTAGACCACTCACTCACTGTGCACTCTGTCGGTATTTGAGCGCTCGCCCTGTATTTCCTTGAGTCTCTACAGGCTACGTTATTACCCAGGCAGCATAGAGTAGTGGTTAGCATAGATTCTGGAGCCAGGGAGTTTGGATTCAGACTGCACCCCACTTACTAGCTGTGTAAACTGCGATCTCCCTTAGAAATAAGAGGCCATTGATAGTACCTGTGTTTGGGGGCTGTCACGAGGATTAAATGAGTTAATCCAGGTCAAGCACTTAGCCTAGTGCCTGGCATGCGGTAGTGTTTACATAAGGGTTTGTTATTGTTATTATTGAGATGGATGTTTTATCTCCATTGCTAAGCAGTTAGTGCTTTAAAACTGTGATGGGTCGGCCACCTTTTAAGTGAAACTTAAGGACCCACCTTCCACGTGTCAGTGTAGCGACTTGAGCAGTAGCAAGAAGGATTAGGGTAGACTGTTGGACAGAGTGCTTGGCAGTGAGGAGGGCACAGTCACCCCGCAGGGCCTTTTTATGAGAAGGTCCAGGTTATGCACTGGGACTAGGTAGAGCATATTTTTAATAAACTTTTTATTGGAATAATTTTTTATTTAAAGAAAAGTAGCAGGAAAGGTAGTGGAGAGTTTCCATATACCCCTCACCTGATTTCCCTCCTCGTCGTCACCTTACCTTACTGTGGTACATTTGCTAAGCTAAGGAGCCATCTGTACACTTCTATTAATCAAACTTCGACTTTATTCTGATTTGACCGGTTATTCCCTAATGCCCTTTTCCGTTCCAGGATCCTCTCCAGGACCCATATGACACTGAGTCATGGCGTCTCTTTAGCATCCCCTGGTCTGCTGCTGTTTCTCTGACTTGTGTTGTCCTTTGTGACCTTGACCGTTGTGCAGAGTGCTAGTTGGGTGTTCTGTGGACTGTCCCTCAGTCTGGTTTTGTCTCGTAGACTGGGATTATGAGTTTTCGAGAGCATGGTTAGGTGGGATATTTTTTAATGACCAGAAATGAACTCGCTCAGTATGGGAATCATGTTGCTGGCTGGGTGAGGTGCATGCTGACCGAGTAGGCGCAGGCGCAGGGGCAGGGATCCCGGTACCCCTGTCCCAGCCACTTGTGCCTTTCTCCCTCTAGATTTTGGATGCCACCCAGTTCAGCTGTGGTGCCCGCCGTTCCACCCAAGCAGCTCCACTCAGTCCTGCTGAGTGGGTGCCAGTTCTCACACTTGGCTCTCAGCCCTTCTCGGCATATTCTGATGTATGGGCAGTGGCTCGGCAGTGGCTCATCAGTGGCTGCCTGTGAGCGCAGGTGTTTGTCCCCTGAGCCCTCTCTCATGCCCACCCCTGACCCAAAACTGCGTCCCCCTCAGGACTGAAATGCGTCAACTCCCCCCAGCTTCACAGAGCGTCCGGGGTCCAGATGCCTCAGCCCTTCCAGCTCTTGAGCTGGAGCTGGGAGCATGGGTGGGGCTGCCGGGGACTCTTTTTCATTGCGGAGAGACCAGGCTTGGGGAGTGAGGTGGCGGTTGCAGGCAGGTTGCATCACCCTGGCTCTGGGATGGGAAGGGGTAGTGGAGGGACTCTCTGGGGGCCCCGGCACACCTGGCAACAGTTTCCTGGTTAGCGGAGCTCTGGATCCGGGAGAGGCCCCAGCACGGCAAGGGCGGTGGCGGAGGGGGAGGGTGAGCAGCCACCTGTGCAGACCCTGAGGCTCTGAGGCTCGCCACTGGGAAGTGGCCTCGGGTCATCAAGGCTAACCCACTTGTCTTACAGGGGGCAAGACTGAGGCCCCCAGAGGTGAAAGGCATTTGTACGATCGCACTGCCGGTTGGAGTCAGTCTCTACAACACTGCACAGCTCCTGAGGCCCTGCAGGCCCGGGGAGACTGTCTGCTTCCCTCAGGTTGGACCCCCAGCCCCGGGCATGGCCTGCAGGGAGGCCACCAAGCCTGGACCTTCGCCTCAGGTTTGCTGCTGCTCAGTTGCCAAATTCTATTGATTCTGACTTGCCTCTCCCACCCCCTCTGCCCCGGAAGAGGGCCTCCTCACCTTTACTCTTGAGCAACCCCTCACTGGTGTCCCAGTTAAGGTGACAGTCCGGCATGATGGAAGAGGCACCGAGTTTGCATCAGATGGGCCCAGGCTCCAAGACCACAGCACTTAGTCCTGGCTGCGGATCCAGGCAAAGTCTTGGCTCCACCTGGGCCTCGGCTGCCTTCCACAGGGTGGGACAGAACAGTGGCTCTGGAGCGAGTCCACCTGACCCCTGACAAGTGGCATGGTCTCCCTGTGACTCAGTTCCCTTGTGCATAAGACGGGAATAGAAGGACCCACATCATAGGGTGGGCATGAGGGTAAGGTCGGGAAATTGACGTGATGTCGCCAGAATGGGCCTGCCCGCTCGTGAGCGTTAGCTGTTTCTCCCTGAGGCGTGGGGTGCTGGGGGGCTGCGGGAAACGCTGCAGGTGAAGCCCCGCGTTCACTGGCTCCGGCACATCTGCGCGTTCGTTTCTCTTCCTGTCCTCACCGCACTCTGCTCTGCTTTCGCGGCCACCGCAGACAGGTGTGCATGGACACACCTGTTTCCCCGAGCACGTAGAAGGCAAGGTTGGGACCCTCCTCGTTCCCAGAATCGTCCCCTCAGCCTCCAGCCCTGCGCCGCTGCCTCAGCGGGCCTCAGTCCACTTCTGGATCAGTTGCTCGTGCACAGAGGCGGGGAATTCAGTGCTGTGATCCCGCAGCAGTGCGTGGGCAGGTACCCGGGTCACGCAGGCCATGGGGGGAGGGGGTTGTAGGTGGGCGTCCTGGCAAACAAGGGCAGGAAGGCCAAGGCTGTTTCAGCTCGGGAAAGGGCAGCGCAGGGCACAGGTCGGCCACGTGGCCGACGGCTCAGAGTCCTCCTGAGCACCTTCCCTCCCCTCGCTCGCCTGCGTCTCCCTCTCCAGAAGCAGCCACGGCTCTGAGAGCCTCGTCGGCCCCGCACCGGGCACCAGCTCCCTCGACGGTCACCTTCCGTTGTGGTGTCTGCACTCGCTGCTGTAACAGCGCCACAGATTTAGTGGCTTAAAACAACACATTCATTCTCTCTCAGTTCTGGAGACCAGGGCTGCGTCCCTTCTGGAGGCGCCAGGGGAGAATCCGTTTCCTGGCCTTTTCCCGCTGCTGGAGGCCGTCTGTTGTCCTGGGCTCGCGGCCCCTTCCTCGGTCACTCCAGCCTCCGCTTCGTCACCCCGTCTCCTCTTTCCTTTGACCTTCTTGCTCTCCCTCTTGTAAAGACCCTTGTGACTACATTAGGGTGCGCCCAGGTAATCCAGGATAACGTCTCCATCACGGGACCCTTAGTCACATCTGCAAAGTGCCTTTTCCACATGAGGTTGCATACTCAGGTTGTGAGGGTTAGGGCGCCTTTGGGGAGCCATCATCCAGCCTGCCGCCTTCCCCTTTTAGAGCCTCAGTTTCCTCATCTGGGAAATAAAGGGTAGGACCCGCCTTGGGGCGCGCCCTGCCTTCTGTGCCCATAGGAACTGGCCATAGGGAAAGGACAGGGCCAAGTGAAGGGACCTGACATCATGGTGTCTTGGTGCTCAGATGTCACCACTCTGACCTCCAGCAAGATACCGGGCCCCCTTGTGCCATTGTGGCCTCATCAGTAAAGTAGGCACAATAGCAGAACCCTCTTGCAGGGGCAGCGGTGAGGGTGAGCCTGGCTCAGCCAGCTGCGCCCACAGACCGCAGGCCCTGTGTGCGGGGCGGGCCGGTGAAGCCCCAGACCAGCGGAAGGGCCTAGCACGGCCCATCCCACTGGGCAGTAGTGCCAGCCTGCAGGTGCAGAGCT